ACCATCGTAGTAAAGGCTGGTACAGGCAAAAATCATCAGAATATGCTATACATAAGGGAATAAGTTTCATGAGGAGCGTGATGTTTGTATGGTCTGAGAGTATATTCCCTACAGATTGCTAATCAGTTGTCAGAGGAAAAACTACACAGTGGTGATGCTGGATGATGCCTTGACCAGATGATTAAAATTAATATCCTCAGTGAGGGGCAGATAGCCATCACGAGCCTCTAGATGTGATAATCTAAAGCACTTCAACAGCACTTACAGTGTTTTTTCTCCTAATGCATAACCTAATCACGAGGAAATATCTGAAAAAACAAAATTGAGGAACATTGTACAAAATAACTGGCCTTGGTACTTCAAAAATATCAATACCATGAAAGACAAAGGCTGAAAAACTGCTCCAAATTAAAGAATAATAAAGAGACATAACTCAATGCATTATGGACTGGACAACTGGTAAAATGCGCTAAGGACTGTAGATTAGAAAAATGTATCATATCAATGTTAAATTTCCATATGTTGGTAATAGTGCTGTTACAGACTGCATGTTTGTGTCCCCCCCCCAACAAAATTTGTACATTGAAACCCTAATCCCCAATGAGATGGTATTTGGAGATGAGGCCTTTGGGGGGTAATTAGGTCATGAGGGCGGAGCCCTCATGATGGGATTAGTATCCTTATAAGAAAGACACAAAAGAGCTTGCTTCTCCTGCTCTCCACTGTGAAGATACAAGAAGACTGCAAACCAGGAAGATTGCCCTCACCAAGAACCAGTTCTGCCGGCACTTTGATGTTGGACTTCCCAGCCTCCAGACTGTGAGAAATAAATTGTTGTTTAAACCACCCAATCTATAGTAAATTGTTATAGCAGCCCAAGCTGATTAAAATAAGTACTATGGTTATGTCAAACAAAATTCTGGTTCTTAGGAAATATACACTGAGATATTAAGGGATAAGGAGGCCTGATACAACCTACTCTCCAGTGACTCAGAAAAATATATATGTATATGTATGTTTCTGTGTATAGCTAGAGAGAGAGGATATGATAAAACAAATGTTATTCTTGCAATTCTTCTGTAAGTGTGAAATTATACAGAGACGTCTTACCTCTGCTTAGGATTTTTCATCCTTCTTCAGCTTGTGGGAAGAAACAAATATTAGTTATACCTACCTTAGATTCCTTCACAGTTGCTCTTCAGAAAATAGATTCCGACAACTATTCTAACATGTAGATTATCATAAAAGAGGATAGATCTTAATACTTATGATCTGCCAGCAAGACTTAAAATTATACCTACACAAACTGTGCAACAGGCCAATTCCTTTAATGAATACAAACCAGTTCTAATACTTTTGATTGTCCATAGTGTTTTCAAAACCCTTGTGACCCACTACAAGCTGAACCATCAGAAGTTTTGTTCAGTGGCCTTACATGGTGGAAGAGTATTACTATAATGAAAATATAGTTAACAATGATCCTCGAAATATTTCTAGAAAGGGTAGTTTTGCAAATTGCAATGTGTAATAATACCACTAAAAACTACTGCCATCAGTTTACTCATAGGGCAAATACATTATTGCTTGGAGGGGAGAATATCCATATTAAGCTGTTAATTAAGTAATTAACAGCTTGCTCTAATGAGAAAAGTGACTTGTACTTATAAACCAGCCATAGAAATGAACCACTCTCTTTCTGTCCTCGGCTCCAACAGGCTTCTTTTCCTTATGTGTACCACTTGTACAAAATTCCAAACCTGAGAGGAACAAAGAAATTGCACCATAGACCAACGGGCTAGTCTTTTATACTCTTTCAGAACCAAATGCTCTTTGTTCTGTTTCCATTACTCCCAGGAAATGACTAAGACAACTGGTTCCATAGAGGTACCTTCTTCCCTGTAGAATATTCTGTTTTGGCACAAATACCTATAAATCTATTTCTTACTTTATCAGAAATTGTTAAAGAGACCATTCCAGCTGCAAGGTCTTAAAATCAGCACCTTTAATCCAAACCAAATATGATTCTTAATAATAGAATTGCATCAGAAGTATTTGTGCTTTTACTAAAGCATAGTAAGATTTGGTGCTGTGTATACATGAACTCTTTTGCCCAAGGTGAATGCTCCTTAAATAAATTACAGGCTAATGCTAGCCATACTTTCCCTTCTTTGAGATTTATGAATATTGGATAATGATTCTTAACAAGAGTTTGAGCCTTACTGATGCATTTAATTTGCCTCTTGGTAGCATTCCCTTAGCCAGGAACCAGGTTTCCAGAATCTTAAATGCTGCTGTGCAGCCAATGTTTAGACAGATGGTTCTATAAATAATCATTCAACAAAAAGCAAGAAAGTCAATAAAAAACTGATGAAAACAAAACTAAAGTTGAAGTCTGTACTTCTTTGTTATATAATGAGTAGAAGGAAGAATATCAACATAATGTCACTGATGCAGATCTGGAAATCCATTATGATGTTGCTTAGGACAAAGTCTAAGAAAACTAAGAGGATAGTTATTAAACCCAATGACAGGTTCCCTTTAAGATCTTAACTCATAAAACAAAATAATGGATCCACGGCCCTAGTAAACCATAAAAAACATTTCCCCATGGTTAAAAGTCTCCATTTGGAACTCTGAACCAATCAGCAAACAACCCTGCTTCTTCCAGCTCTAACCAGTTCCCTACTTCACAGCCAACTGATCTCTTAACACCACCCAACCCAATCTCTTATGAATTTCCCAAGGTCGAGAGACTCCCAAAAGTTGCCTAAGGTTTGTTCACCTTTGCTACACCAAGCTAAACAAACCTGGCTTGTGGGAACTACAGGCATATCCCTAATAATCTTCTGCTAGTGAGTTTCAAATGATTTTCCTATAAACATACACTCCAGCTACCCAGAGAAAATTACTTTTAATATTTAAGTAGGTTTCCCATTTCTGGCAATGTTTGCCTGATGGTTTGACATGGTTCTGATCATATAGTACATACCTTGCAATTTTTTTAAAATATGCTTTTAGAAATTTTAGCTCAACACTTTTAAGGGAGGTAAAAACACTCTATGTACAGAGTTATGTTGGTAGAGTACATACCAAAGTTTAACTATTCCATTCCCCAATCATTAGACATTTAGACATTTTCCAATTTTTGCTGTTACAAACAAATCTGTGATAAATAATATTTTGCATAAAGCTTTTCCTATGGCTTAAATTATGTCCTCAGGATAAATGCTTGCAATGATAACTGAACTGAAGGGTATGAGCATTTTGGGGCTCTAGCCACACAATGCTTCTTTTCCAAGAGTTTTACCCATTAGCTCCTACTTGCAACTGTAACCAAACTCAGTGGGTCCGACTCTTGGTGAGTGCAGAGTGGAAAAGCACAACCAAGGCGGAGGCAGGTGAAAGAAAAAGGTTCATTGTTGCACAAGCAATGGAGAACACTGGGGCTAGCTCCCAAAGCAGTGCCACCCCACCCCCCACCTCCCCACCCCTCCCAGCTTAGTGCAGGTGGAGGTTGTCTACACCAGAGTGCAGAGGCTATGTTACAACTGTGTAACAACTGGGCCTGATCAGGGCACATGGGCAGGCCATTACTTACAAGTTCAAGGCCATTACATAACAGATTCAATGCAACATGCCATTTAGAGCTGGAGCAATTTGCAGGGATCCTGGGGCAACCGTGTAAGTTTCACTGTAGGATGGCAACATCTGCAAAAAAACGAGGACCTCATCTTCTGAAAAACAGCACATTTGTTTCCTCCTTGTCTGGAAAACATTTGACAGATTATATTTAGTTACGGATCAGATTTTCAGCAGTAACTCTTTCCTTGCCTGATTTCCGGTCATATAACCAGTTAAAGTCAATGTTCTACTGAACTCTCACCAGCACATTAGGGGAATCTTAAATACAAGCCTTGCCCAGACATTTAAAAGTTTTAGAAATAATTACACTACATAGAGCTTTTCAGGAACACAACAGGCAGCTCTCTCATTCTCAATTTGCCTCTACAATTCTCAAACTTACTAGGTAGAAAAGCAACTGAAGTCATAAAGCACTTGGTGGAAACACAGGAAATATCAACTATTAAGGAGTAATTATTACAAGCATAGGTAATCAGATGGTAGTTTTGCATACAGACAGGCAAAAACAGGCATCTAAGATTTAAAATAATTTTCCGACTTAAATTCTTTATGAAAACTTAATGACTATTGTGGGTGTGTTAAAAAAACGCTGAGGTTTTTTGGGTAAGGCATTAAGAGAGAAAAAATTAAAAAGCATAGTTGAACACGAGTGAATTGCAGACTGCTTTTTGAGTGTGAACACCGAAAAAAGGTCAACTATTTTATTTTAGTAAGGTAATATCTGAGAACATCTTTAAAAAGTGCATTTTAAGACCACTGGTCTAGGGCTTAGAGATAGCCAGCTAGGCCTCGGCTCCCTGTCCTATTGGCTGCTGACTCTAGCTTCGCCAGTTTTCTTCAGGTCAGCGTGGGGAGCGCTGGTCCTCAATTTTCTTCCTCGGATGTATTAATACATGCTGAGGCTGGGAGATGGAAGCTGGGGAACAAGTGAGTCACGAAAGGACACCTCAGATTTCTTTCCTGATCCTAGAATTTAGCTAAACCTCCACATCCCCGGCCCTACACAAAAAAAGAAAAGAAAAAAAGGGAAAACTGAGAAATTAGCTCCTATCACTCACGTTGACGGCTACAACTGGAAGTGGTGAGCTTTACTCACAACCACACGCCTGAACCCCGCCCCCAACAGCTCCACGGAGGGGCGGCCGACTTCAGCCTGGCGTGGCGCATGCGCTGTACGTTGAGGTTCTTTTCCACCACAGCGCGGCGGTCTCGACCAGAACTACAATTCCCAGGATCCTGCGCGCGAGGAAGGAAAGCCGGGAGCGAGCGGAGGCGGCTCCGGGGTAGCGGGCCCGGGCGGGCCGCTCCTCCCTTTGAAGCGGTTTTGCGCCTGTTTCCGCCCGCGGCGTCGGCGCTCACGCAGGGGCGGGTGACGGCGGCGCGGAGCGGGGCCGGGCGGGAAGGGACGTCGTGGCGGCGGCGGCGGCGGCAGGTTGAGCAGCAGCGGCGGTGCTGTCAGTCGGGCCGTCGGAGAAATGGGAGAGCCGGGGGCGGAGGTGAGCAGTCGGGCGGCGCCGCGGGTCCTCGCCGCCCGCGAGGCGCTGGCGTTCGGCCGGGGCTCCCGGAGCTCGGCGGCGGCGGCGACCCGGCCCCTCGGCGTCCCAGGGCGGGCCTGGTGCGGGGCTGCGCGGGGACCGGCGGCAACAATGGCCGCCCCCGGCCCTGCCCCTCGCCGGGCCCTCGTCGCCGCAGGCCTGCCCGGGGAGCGGCCCTTGGAGCCGGCTTGCTGTTGGGTGGTGGGCTCGCGGCCCTCCGGCCTGGGAGGGGGAGTCGGGCTGGGGGCTCGTTCTGGCGGGCGGGCCCATCCCGCGCCCGCGCCCGCGCCCGCGGCGGCAGGACCCGACCCCGAGCTCTGTCCTCGGCCGGGGTCGCGGGGCCTTGCGCTCGTTCGGCTTCCTCCAGAGCTTTTTGTTGAAGAAGCTCTTCCTTTTTTGTTCCTTTTGGAGAAATCTGTTGCCCCAAGCATGTGGCGGTACAGCTGAGCGTGGTCTGGCTTATTTTTATAGATAATAGAATCTGTCCCTCCAGCTGGGCCGGAGGCATCCGAGTCGACAACGGATGAAAACGAAGATGACATTCAGTTTGTTAGCGTAAGTAGCAGCGACCTTCGCGTTTCCCGAGTCCAAGACTGTGTGGTTGGTAATGAGATTGCACCTCACCTGCTCATCCATCATTCAGCAAATGTGTGTGTGTCTGACGGGTACCAGGCACTGTGAGCGTGGCCTAGCGCTATATTTCCCAGAAGGGGTCTCTGAGCCACCGCGGGAGCCATCACAAAGACGGTGGCCTAAGGTACACGTTGTGCACTCCATCACGCTTCTCCTGCCTGCATTTAGGGCCATTTTATACTCAATGTACCCAAGGTTTTGTCTCTAGACTGTGTTTTGAAATGGGGCAAGAGTAACTTTTAAAAGACGACACCCAGGTTAGGGAGAAGGGAGGGCTACTGATGAGGACAGAAGTAGAAAAGAAGAAGAAGGGTGCAGGAACTGGAAATCTGAGCGTTATGTAGCTTCATAGCGTGAAGGCAAATAGCTGCAAGACTCCTCTAACCTCTGAGATCAGGTCACACTAGTGCAGCAATTGATTGTCATAACAGAGATCCTGCATCACCAGGAACATACGATATCTGTCTGGGTTTCTCCTGCTCAGGGCAGTAGTTTTCCAGGATTAGTAAGTGTAATGTGCAGATTCTTGGACCCCGCTCCAGACCTGTTGAATCAGAATTTCATGGTGCCGCCCAGGAATCTTCGTTTTGGCACAAATGCAGGAGTATATGAATCTCTGAACCACACTTTGTAAAGCATTGGTTTTGGAAAAAAAGGGGTGTGATGTATTTTGAGATAATTTTCACCCTTTAAAACTGTTAAAAGTTTTACAAAGGCTCTGCTGAAAGTATCTTAGCTGGAAAATACTCCTGCTCTACTTGAATATTGTAGTTGGTTTTGATTTGGTATTAAGGCTGTGTAATTTTTCTTTAATAGTGTGTGTATTTGTTGAAGTTGGGCAACTTTTGTAAGACTAGTTATTAAACACTGTCTTTTATTTACCCCAACTTTAGGGCCATTGTGGTAATCTGCTGTGTATTGTATGTAAATGGATTTGTTGAGGAGTCTTCACAAGATCATTTTCCTGACTCCCTTTGCCATTGCTAGTGCTATGGTACTTTGTCCTTTTCGTTTTAAACTCTTAAAGATTTGGGGTGTCCGGAGGTTGATGAGTTGTGTCTTGCCCCTTTCTTCACTGTGGCCTGAAGGATGTTTGAGAACAGTCTTCCAAGCTCTTTAGGATAAATATTTCTGGTTCTTCCTGAATATTGGTACATTTGTGAACGGAGAATATTTATCTTGATATTTTTTGCAAATAAAAGTAAGAATGATACTCTTCCTTATGAACTGTGGGCCTTACTTTGACGATCACAGATGGAATCTACACAGATAAGATTTGAAAAATATTTTTTTGGTAGTCTGTGTAGTGAAGAATTGTAATGTGGTTTGTGACTAATTGATATAAGCTTGTATTAAGCTGAAGTTTAAAAATACTCTTAATTTCAGTTTTATTTTAAATATAGAAAATCTGTCTCTGTGCATCAGGAATAAAACACGTACAATCAGTGTAACTAACATGATTCAACATCTTATATTTATCCCTGTTTCCAAATACAAGTTCAAATATTTGATAGCTCCAAGTGGAGAAGCGAATGATATACATTAAGTGCAATTATAATACTAGAAGAAACCTATTAAAAACATTCCCTTTGCATTTTTAGTGATAATACTTAAATGACGATTCATGATACCTTAATTCTATTTAAAATATATTTGGAGACAGAATCTTCTACTTCTCTCTGTAGCCAGTCTTATACTTGACTCCTCCAGGTAATGCTGATCCAATAAAGATAATAAGTAGTTCTCTGCTTAAAATTTCTTAAGATACAAAAAGAGCATTATGATGTCACTTCTTGATATTCTCTGGTTTGGGTTTCTTAGTTTGTGCTTGTCTAATTTTCCCATCTTCTCCACGTGGCAGCACAGCGGTCTTTCTGTGCTTTATATATTGCAAAATATAGAGCCCCAAACTAAACATAGCACGCTGAAGGAAAGCGATCATAGAGATGTGGAGGTGCAAAAATGAACTTTTTCATTTAAATTTTATTGAAATAATAACATACATACAGAAAAGTACACAATTCATAAGTGTACTATTTGATTTTTACAGAGCCACTACTCCTGTGTAAACAGTGCTCAAATTAAGAAACAGAATGTTACCTAACAAAAATTTTTTACTTAGTTCTTTTGCTCTCATTTTCTGTTTAGTTTGGTGATACGATCCCTTATTCAGCCACTGTCTTTATGTCTTTCTTTGAATCTGCAGATATTTTAATTAATTTACTCCTAGAAAAATATTTTAACTAAGAGCTGCTGACATGATTTTCCATAGTGCTAGTCTGGATAAAAAGGTATAAAAACTGCTGAGGCAACCTATATAATCTTGATAAGGGCTCATGAGAGTTAGGGTCCAGCCAAGGTTACTGGTATAATGTGGAATCATTGAGCATACAGAAATAATGAAGGAAATGAAGGTATAATTTCGGGAGCACATAGGTCAATGTTAATAGTTTAGCTACAGTAGAAGGGTCATGGGCAAAAATGAGAGGATCTTTTTGCTGGGTGTCTTGTGGCTGTAATTAGCTCAATAAATAAAGCTAATTTGGGAGCTCATAATATGCAAAGTCATGAATTAAGTACCTTAAAGTTCAAAGATTCATCGGACATGCATTCTTCCCGTAAGTGTCAGTGTTTCAGTGTGGGAGATGAGATAGGAGATGAGAACTGTGTAAATAGTTCCAGTGGAAAGTTCTCTTATAAGAAGTCCATGGTGCTATCAAAAAAGATATAAGACTTTCAGTTGACTGCTTTGGCATAGGTAGTATTTAGTATTTGTATGTGTTTAAAAGCGCATTTTGAGAAAAAATAAGGAAAGCCGTCAAAGTGGGAAAGCAAAGAAGATAACGTGTAGATCTGGAGGACAAGTTATTTTTAAAATGAGAGAGGGAAGGATGAGCCAGGTAGTGTAGATCTTGAATTGTGAACTACCTTTGAACCTAAGGTAGGCAGTTGAGAACCATTTGAAATTTTTGAACTGGGCAGGACTGCAGAAGTAAACTATGTTTCTAACTTCTCTATATGGAAAAAAACCACATGAGTTATTTAGGTTTTTAGATTAGATTTTTGCACCTATGCTCAAATCCATATTCTTTGTTTTAGTAGGGTAAACTACTTTTTTTGTAGACCATACCTTAGTGTATTAACATCACTTGCCACTTAGTAGGTAATTGATGTTTTGATTTTGTATGAGAATCAGTTTTCTAATAACCAAGATGAAAGCTTTTTATTTCATTAAAATATATATATTTTTTATCTTAGAATATTAATTCAGCTGTGTTCCTAAACTATTTTGCTTATGCCCGTGCTCCTGTCCCTAAGTTCTGTGGCCTTGGGAGAATGGGATGAGAATGATGGTTTACTAGTTAATGGATGGTTCAGATTCAAATAAAATACTTTGTAATTGGAGGACCACATGCATTTATGCTTGTTAGGGATGAAAACAGTCATAAACATTATAAAAATTACTTTTTCTTGACATTTGTATTATAAACATTACTTCTTTTGGGGAATTAATAACTTAGTTTTTGGTCTGCGTTATCAGTTATTCAGAGTTGGGGACAATAGCAGGTAGTCCTTTTGCTTTTATTGAAGGGAAGAGAAAGTATCTTGTCTCAGAAACTTAGGTAATAAGATTGATTTAAAAATAGTATGTATGTTTTGAACTACCTCAGAATTATGGTGACCCCACAGCCAATTATGTGTTTAGACAATCGGGTGTACTTCACTTAGTTTTCTTGTTTGTTAAGTGGGATAATAGTAATAATTCACTTTCTCACCTTGTGAAGTAATTGTGGGGATTAAATGAAATAGTGTCCATGAGAAGTTTAGGCCTGTACAGGGCTCAATGACAAATGTTATTGATTAGTAGTAAAATAAATGGAGTGCTAAAATGTTTTGATTCCTTAAGTTCATTATGGTGAAAGTTTTTCCATAGCCGCTGTGAAAAATTAGCTAAAGTATTAGAATTTGTTTACAAGTAATCTTTTCCTTTGGGTCCTTCTCTTTCCTTATGTTTCCACTCAGCCTTTTTGGCAGTCTCAAACAGGTTCTGTCTTCTCCTTCTACCACTCTATCACTTACAAGTCCATAGTTGTTTGTTGAGTGAATGAATAAATACTCTAAATGACTCCTGCTTTTTCTCATTTTTGGATTTCCTATCCTGATTCTTTGTATTCTTCTCTCTTAATTAATGTGAATCATATGAAGTTGTCCTTGTTTGGTAGTTTAAAAATGGTTGCATATCAGTCTAATGGTTCACCCCGATCCTGCATTTCTGATAGTTTCCTCTCATCTGTCCTTACTCTTGCCCTTTCTTCTCTATCTGCGGCTACATTTTAATCCTATTTGTGACTGTTGTCCTTATTCTGTTTTTTTCTTCCCATTCTACTTTTTGTTCTGTGCCCTGTTACCTTTTTTATCTCCTTTTTTTCTTTACCTGTTCATGGAAGCTCTACCCCTACCTCTGTGCATTTCTGGTAACCTGGGGACTTTCTTGGTGTACTATTTTCTGTGGGTATGTGGTGAGAGTTCCTAATGCACATTTCTTGAAGAGAGTAAACTAAGATGATTATATGAACAGGAGAAGCTATTTTATTTTTATTTCCTCTCTCTACTTCCTTTTCGGATTGAACGTATGATTTTGACAATCTTAATACCAGTGGTAGGTTTTAGTCATCTCTGTTGACCATGCATTAGAGAAGATCTGTCCCTCTTTTCCTCTTTTTTAAACCACCATTTTCCTAGTTCAGGCAAAAATCCTAATTACTTTATTACGTAATCCCTGCCCAGAAGTGTTGCTCTTTGGTTCTGTCTTGGTGGCTGGATCACTACCTGCAAGGAGAGTAGTTTCCTGCTTGGGGCAAAGTTGTACCTAGGGGAGAAACAGACTCTCTTTGAGACTGGACGCCTCTTCTCAGGAACAGGGCCTATAACTAGATCTTAGCTTCTGTCTCCTGACTCTAGGGTTTTTTTCTGTTAATTTTTCCAATGAATGTATCACTTTTGACTTCCCAACAGTCAACTTTCCCCATCCTAAGAACTCTTTCCCTCAGGCATATTCTCCTCTTGTATTCTTTTTTCTTGTTCTCAACGTACTAGATTTTTTTAAAAGAGTAATCTTTACTCGTGGCCTCTTATTTTTTAGAGCCTGGCTTCTGTGCTCACCACCTTCTTGAGAGTTGCTCTCGAGATCAACGGCATTTTTAAATCTCCTTGCTGTCAAATTCACTGGCATTGTTTTGGTGCTTAATGTGTTTGGTCACATGTAGCATTGACAACTTTTTGTTGAGATTTTCTCTATCTTTAGTTTGTTTGGATTTATGCATTCCTGATTCTTCTCTGATGTCTGATTACCTACTTAGCTCTTTTTCCTAAATCCTAAAATTCCAGCATTTCCTCAAGAACCTCCTTGAATCTCTTCTTTCTCAGAACTCTTTGATTTCTTCCTTCCCAATATCCTAGTTTCAGTTTAATTCTAGAGTCTTTTGGGGAGCAACTCCCAAATTTCTATTTCCAGGTATGTTCATATATCCAGATTACAGGCCTGCATTTCCAGCTGTCTGCCAGATACCTCTGTACCACTGGTACATCAACCCATTATGTCCAAAAGAATGTCAGCTTTCTGTTTCTGTATTCTAAATTTATACTAATGGCATTAGTATCCTTCTAGTCATCCATGCTTGAAATCTTAGGGACCACTTTAACTCCTTGTTATTGTTGGGATTTTGTTTTTATAGCCAGTCATTTTCTTTTTTCCATTATACCTGTGTATTCTCTTGTATATGCACCACAACACTGTTCTTCTTGCCATTGCTGTTGTTTTATTTCTGCATTATTATGTGCCTGGACTGATTAATTATCCTGCTTTCCCCACTCTCTGTACTTTTCTATTGATTAATCTTCTTAAAGCATAGGTCTTATAATATTATTCCCATCTTAGTGTTTATTGATTCCCTTTTGCCTATGGTATAAAATCTAGGCTTCCAATCCTAACATTCAAGGCCTCTTCTATGATGGAGTCAGAATGGAGGGAAAGAAAGGATGGAGAAGAATCAGATCTGATGTTTGACTCTAAAGGAGTGGGAGATAAAGCAAGCTGTTAGTCAAAGAACTTCATGTTTTTGAGCTTGGATATGTAACGGACTGTTGATACCCATCCCATTTGAAAAGCACTGGATCATAATATATGTATCCTTGTAGCACTATTCCTGTGTTAATAAGCCTTCCCCAAGAAGTTGACACAGTCCTAATACTCTATCCAGGTTTAGGTTCTTCCTTTTAGGTTTGTCATCATTTCTTATTCATGTACTTGGAATATTTTCCTCTGCAGTTGAAGTGATTATTTTCTGCCACCCCTAAGGCTTCCTCTTCAGAGGAATTCTTGCCAATCCCAGCCAAAACAAAAAAGATTATTTGAAATGCTATTTTAGTGTGAATAACTGTTCATGGCTTATTAATTTGCTCAATTCTTTTATAGGAAGGACCATTGAGACCTGTTCTTGAATATATTGATCTGGTCAGCAGTGATGATGAAGAGCCCAGCACCTCTCATAGTGATGTAAGTACATTATATTTGATTTTCATTTCTTTCCTTGTGTCATTTCAGAGGCATTCTCCAAAGAGAGTTATCCAATCAATGAAGGCTGTGTTTAGGAGCTCTAGTGCTTTAGAGGATAGTCCATTTCTGTTAGAAGGAGCCATAAAAGGTAGTCCAAGGAGTCCTTTGCCTAGAACATCTCCTGCTTCCAGTTTTGGTCCTTTACTTTAAGTGAGGATGTGAAGGGATAAAATGACACAGGAAAGTTCTAAGCCTTGGAGGTGATACCTGATAAAAGGGAAATGGAATAAAAATTGCAAAGCTTTTTGGCTCCTTGTGCGCTTCTCCTTTCCTCTCTCTCCTTAGGTGCCCTGTAGAACTGGATCTTTTTCTTCCAGAACCATGGGGCCACAGAAAATTTCTTTTGTCTTGGAGGAAAGGATATGTGAAGACCCTTTAGGAAATGGAATGTGAGGAAGGGTTATAGTTGATCTATTACTTGAGTCGTCACTCCTTTTAACCTCCTCTGGCCCCCATATATTTGGACTTTTTTCTTTTACCTGTGATTTACTGGTTGTGGGTTTGACCCTTAAACTAATACTTCCCTTGCTCTGAGAACCAAACTAGGTAAGCTTTTTGTAGTAATCTTCTTTCATTTGTGTTATCCCAAATTTCTAGTAATGGGCTATTTTCTTGATGGATTAGAGAACTCCTGGCTCTTGTTCAAGGTGGCCAGAAAACTTTTTGCTCTATGATACAAATTGAGACTTGGACTTGGGATCAGAATACCTAGGTTTTAGTCTCAGCTTTACTCCTTATTACTTCTCTGACTTTGGATAAGTTAAGTAGCCTTTTAACCTTAGTTTTCATTATCAAATAGGAATAATACCTACCTCACAGGGTTGTTGTGGGGATGAAATGAGGTAACACATATATGTAAGCTCCTTGAAATCAAACTACAAATCATAAAGTAGGACTATGCAACTGGAAAGTTTTGTTACTCGGCGAGTGAACGAGAGAAAATTTTTAAGGAGGCTTAGAAGTGATTCTGCAATTGGGGACTTTCAGAAATTATTTTTCTTCTCATTAGAACTTTCCCTAAGTTCTCTCTGCCATTGTTAGCTTCTACTTGTTGACTTACGTACGTTGAATGAGATTTTTCTTTAATTGTTATCACCAGTATTCTCACCACTTCTTTTTATCCTAGCATGGGACCAAGCAGCAGGCTAGGGTGGTACCATTTGAACTAGGCTTGTTTTTACTCTCTCTTTTTTCATAGACAGAGTGCCAGATTAATGCCAGTAGTTGATATTGGGCCTTTGGGGTTGTGAAGCTTGTGGATTTGACTTCTGTGATCCCCATGCTGACCTATAGTGGATTGCATCTTTCATTGTTAATTATTATAATTTTAAAAATTGAGTTCTACTTACTGGACATGCATCTCTGCACTTGAAAGTTAACATATTAAAAGCGTATTTTTTTTCTTCCTTGGTTTTCTTGTTCATGTGGATAACCCAGAGAATGCCTGAGTCTAAGGTGCCATCCTCTGAGAATCATCGCCCAGAAATGTGCTCTAGCTGCAATGTTCCTCTTCCCATTGGAGACAGCAGCTCCTTCTCTGGGAGTTGCACCAGCAGTCCACAAAGGATAGTTTCTCAGTCTTCTCCTGTTGAGAACCCATTGGAGAACGAGAAAAATGATCAAAATAATTCATATATTAAGATCTCTGAGACAGAGACACTTAAACCATCACAAAATTATCAGACTCTGTCTTCATCTCCACTTCTGGTCCCCCAAGAATCTCTTGCCTCTTCAGAGGTCAAGGGGGATTTACCTATAGAGTTGTCTTCAGCTTCACAGCATGGACAGGATGCCATCCTTTATCTCCAGACACAAGTGGCTGAGATGTCCCGAGTAATACGTGATCTGCAGTCCAGAAGCTGTTTTAGATTTCATCATTCTAGGTCAAGTGAGAACTCCTCAGTTCCTTGGGACATCTCCACCTCAAGAGAAGAAAATTTATCCACAGTTGAAGAAGAAGCTGACTGCAAATCCCCCTCAACTGATGACAAGGGGCAGCCAGCTGACCCCAGTCAGTCTAGTTTTACAGGTCTTTTGAAGAGAATGGAGCAAAGAGGTGTTATAAAGAGAGTAACGTTACAATCTGAAGCAGAATCGTGTGAAGGGAAAGCTGATTATGTGACCTCTAAGAAACGTTTGGTTCCTCCATTGCATCCTCTTCTGAGAATTGCCACCACTGAGGTTTTTAAAGACCCTGCTGATTGCCATCCTTCTTCCTTCATGGGACACAGGGTATATCCTGTGGCCAGGGATACCTCTCCTTTCCAACCAAATCCGCCAGCTGAGGGCCCCATTGTAGAAGCATTAGAGCACAGCAAAAGAGGAAGTACAACATCTCCTCTAGATTCTACCTCAAAAGAAATGGAGGTCATGGGTTGTAGATTCTACCACGCTGCTTCCATTGCAGCCCGAGCTGCTAGCTACATGGCCTATATGACTCAATATCAGCGTAAACTCTGGGAAGACATGGAGGATCTGGTCCATGACCCAGAGTTTGATCGTGGAAAAGCAAGATGTATAATATCTGATGGTATGGATGCGGGCCTTTGGCAGCTTTGCACTACTAGGGACATCATGGACTCTGTAGTCAGAGTTATGGCCATGGCAATAGACTACAGAAGGCAAGCCTGGCTCCGACTTACATCTCTCACTAAAAAAACCCAGGAGAAGATCTCACACCTGCCCTTTGATGGTACTTCTCTCTTTGGACAAGATGTGAATGCTATTGTTGCAGAAGAAAACAGTGTAAAAGAAAATGACTATAAAGACCACAACAAATACTATAACCAACATCGATACTTTTATACTCATGATCAGAAAGCACATTATCACAATAGAGGATACTCCAAAGGGGATTGGTACAAACCCCGAAACCACCCCTATAGATATAGAAAAAAGGGAGAATCTCCAGAACGCCATGGGTACAAGAATTAATAACCTGTCCATGTTCAGCAGTATAGCCATCTAAGATACTATTTTACTTGCTCCTCCCCACTCAAACAGGATCTACAGGTAGGAGGTCACCTCAAAAACTGAATGCAAGTCTGGAATTACCACAGCTGACATTTGAATTCTGGACTTTTGGAATGAAGTATATAATAAAGAGACTCATGCGTTATTGGGCAAATGAACAGTAGAGACTGTAATCTAAGTAGGGTTGGACAAAGATTCACCCATTATTTCTGGTCCAAAATACGTCCAGAGGAAGGTACTCAGGAATCTGAATCCTCTTGTGAGTAAAGAAAAATATAAAGATTTTTTTCCTCAGGAAAATATTACTTGTAAACTGAGGACCAGGAGATTTTGGATCTGGAAATAACCTGCTACTAAATCTCTGTTTACTAATGCCAGAGGCAAATCCTTCGTTATTAGGTCATCAGTGCTTCCTTGTTCAGGCTTCAGCTTGTCAGATCTTCACAAAATGATAAATCTGTTATCTCCTTGTGTCAGGATAATCAACTCACCAAGAGTACATACCACTTTCAAGCTCTGTGAGACTTCAAAATCAACCATGAAGCTGTGTGTCAAGAACTGGAATTCAAATTAAATTTTGCCAAATCCAGTTTGCCTCCAGTGGGATGTCTAGATGTCACAGGTCTACTGTGGACGCCAGCTGGAAAAAGACTTTCCTACCTGTAATATCACTGTAGAAGTTTTCACAGTGACTATCTTCATCAAGACTGATGGCTCCATACCATCACCACTTAAAGCTACATTTGAGAGAATTCTTTGTTGTCATGACTCCCTAGTCTTTGACCTATCAAGCTCTCATGTATCAAGAAGCTGTGAGACCCACTCATGGTGTTCTCTCAGGATAATCTGGGCCTTTCACCAAGATGATGATCTTAAACAAACCTACCTTCTAAACAGTTAGCTTTTTTGAGCTTGATAATTCATCACACTCTAAATACAAAAAAGATATGCACATTAGTGCCCTGGAAATAAAGGATGTTATTCACACTATCCAGGCATGCAAATCTGAACTCTTAAAAGAGCAAGAATTCCAAACATGCCTGACAATCTGGTCCTCTTATTGTAATAAAGAGGGTTGCCGTCAATCTAGATGTTATTGAGTAATCCTGAAGATTTAGAGTATAATTGTGGATATAGTAAAGAGAACATCTCACACAGTTCTGTTTCTAGATATCTGTTTAAATGATGATATCCGTTAATGATTTCTTGAATGTCTGAAATCAAGACTTCAGTGACATGTTCTTGGTTTATTGCTCTCTTAATCCAGTCAGACTCTTAGCAAGAGAGAACTACTTATCTTTTTGCTCCCAATTGGTTCCATTAATAGTTCTCTACCATTCTAGAACTGACAGCAGATACCTCAATAACAATGCCCCACAGTATCTTTTTAATCTCAAGGCAGTGGCTGTATGGTATACCAGGCCTTAGATACTTGCCTTTGCAGCATGGCTTCAGAAATGGAGAAAATGTCAAGTTTGAGGGGTCTGAATATGTCACCTAGTATTATTTGCTTGGCAGCCAAAAAAAATTTTTTTTATCTACAGACTTATAATTTTGTAACTTCTTGGTTTGTCAGACATCTGCATTTTTCTAATCTGCTTGATCAAAGTATTTTGGGTCTACTGTTAGTGGAATATAACACTTTTAGGGTTCATGTGGTTTCTAGTTCTTGCCATAGTTCTTACACAGTGGTAATTGACATTTTCCCTGGAGCTCCACTTTTTAATAGTTTATTGGAACCTCATTCCCCCTCTGCATCATAACCGTATTCAGCACCCTTTTTATCTACTTTTCTTCCTCTCCCTGTTTGTGCTATAGAGGTTGAAGATGCAAATATCCCTACTTAGAAGTTACTTTATTTTGTCAGGTAATTTCAGGGTACTGTGTTGGTCCTGTTTGTAGATTGAGCCTAAACTACAGTCTTGATAGAGGACATTATCTTTCAAATTTGGCCAAGTCATATCTAGAGTTAACGTTTACCTTTATTTTTCTGTATTTTCCATAAAGTTTTATTTCTGCTTTTTTAGGTCCATCGCAGTGCTCTAGAAACTGTCTTTTCAAATTGAACTCTAAAAGAACATTGATTATCTGAAAGGAAACAAGGGCCTAAGAAATCATACAAAGATTTTTATAGTTCATGATGTGTATGACACCAGTCAAGCAGTCTCGTGTCCTTGACATGGCACTGTGTTTCTTCTGTGAGAGGACTGGCCACTGGGGAACTCAGTGGAGAGACCATCTTGGAACCGTTCTGTAAGGTTCTGCACAAGGTGTTCCCAAATAGCTAAGGCTACTTCAGACTGCTCCCACTTTTCCGTTTCTCCCCTTTCCTTCCCTGAATTAGATACTGGGTCACAACCTGATAGTTTTTGAGGTACTCTTATTTTCCAAAAACCAAACCAAAATAAATGTTGCGTGAAGATATGATGCTCTGAAATTGCTTTGGCACTTCCACTTAACGTGCTCCTTTTTAGTTTTTTAATTTTTGAGTTGTTAAAAAAAGATGTAACATAAATTTACCATCTTAACACTTTTTAAGGGTACGGTTCAGTAGAGTTAACTGTATTTATATTGTTTTGTAGCTCCTCCCTTAAGTATTTGTAAAACAGCATTACTGTTCTCTTCCTCTTGTGTTATTCCTGTTGCTCAGTAATAAAGACAGTAACATTGCTTTACCACTCTCTAATTGATATGCCCAGGCATCTCTAGAGAATTTTCCTTTAAGTAAAAAGGTATTAAATCATTGAATTGGTGATCAAGTAGGTAAATTCTGAAGGGATTTGGCAGTTGAGTAGGGATAGGGGCAGAATGCCATAGAGTGGGAACAGTTTTTAGCTGTAGATTAGTCTCTTGACTGCAGAAGAAACAGTATCCTTAACCTGTTTGTTTATTCTTATTTTGAAGTCTTTCTCTGGCATACTTGAATGATGATGGTGTTATAAAACTGAAAATGGGGACTTGGTCTAGGGAGACAACCTCTACCATATGGATAGCATGTGGGACTCATAATTAGTCAAATAATAAGTTTTTATATTGTGCCTGTCATGTGCAGAGCCTGTGACAGAATTCTCCATTAGGCCAACCTCTAATGTTTAAATACCTATAGGTTTTCTTGAAGGCCTTGGAATAATCGCAAGTTTAGGTATTCTCAAAAGGGACGCGTCTAGTGATCCTTTTTCTTCACAGTGTTATTTCTTGACTAGACAAAATGTATGTGGAGACAACATGATTTCTTGTAGTTACTGTGTACAGAGAAATACTGTTTTCATTGTTAAATGAAGTGCCTTTTAAAATTTCATATAATTGTTTAAAACTTAACATTTTGATGTCTTGATGTGTTGCTGGTGATATTTATGTGAATTCTGTACAGTGATTTTTAATCTTGTAGTTTATTCATCTGTACAATTGCACTATCTAAATGTACTCTCCTTCTGAATGTTCATTTGTTTTCTTTATAGCACTGTTGATCCATTTCAGAAGGTTGTAGAGTATGCCCCTCCCCTTTTATTTAAATAACTTCACAGTACTTTTTACCTGTTAGTGATTGGCTCAGTTTTTTGGGCATTAAGGCAGCTTTGTTTTCTATCTCTAGGTTCTGGGTTTTCTGATTGAGTCATTTGTCTCATAATCTAACCTTGTTCTTGACTATGGTAACACAGCTTAAATTTGATAGGTGGATATGTTTACTTGGTAAGAAGAAACAAGGATATTAGGAAAAAGCAGTAAATTTGCTGACACTTTATCTTTTTTTAATTTTTTTGGACTGTGTGACAGCTTAACAGTGTAATTGCATTTAAATTTTTTTTCTTAATTTTTTTACTGTGTGGCAGCTTCTTTATCATTTATTTCCATTTATTTACTTAGTCCTCGAAATGATATTTTGAGGGGAGCATAAACTCTTTCAGGCTACTTGGATACAATTTAGTATGTTCCATTAGTACTATACTAATAATTTACTGAATGATACCTAAGTGACCTGGTTGATAATGTCCTTAAGGGCCCAATACATCCAGGATAACCTCTCAGGTACTGTAAACAAGGAGGTTGGAATAGACACAGTCCAGAATCCCTTCTAGTGTAAAATTGGATACAGAGCTAAATGACATGGATGAGCAAAGTTAAATGCCACATTCAGTATTCTTGAGGATATAATTAATTGGGATTCTGGTGAAGGTCAGAAATTACGGATTAGATCTTTGTAGACATAGTTTAAAGACTGCAATAACTGGAAAACTTTTTTTTTTAATGTGAGGCATAGTTTTTTGCCCCATACTTGCACTGTTCAGGTTCCCTTTTGAAATTTTACTGTTCTTTACTTAATAATTTTCATATCTGTGTGCATCTTATGCATGTCATTCAGTTAGCCAGATCCGTCCTATGTAGTGTTTCATTAGTGGGTACACAAACTTATCAGTGAACTGATGATGATCACTATATTGAATGCAAATCTTTTAGTTGTTTTTCTAGATAAATGAATTTTGTAAGCCATTGAAATATTTTATGGAATTCCCCTTCCTGGATGAATGATGAGAATATTGTTTTATTAAATCTTTTTTCTCTTATTAATTAGTGGGATGATATTTTTGTACTACTTTGTCTTTTCATTTGCTTGATTTTACAGTAATCAAACCTTTTTTATAGTAGTGTTTGGTACCATTGAGATATCTTATTACTGGAAATTATGTTTGCTTCCAGTGGGATGTATCTGGAAGTGGTCACAGTCCCACCGTGTCCTTTTGATGTTAGCATATAAGTTATTTCATTCTTTGTATTGATCTTTTCTTCCCCTTTATGTAACGCCTCTTTCTAGAAGGATGTTTGATCTTCCCTTAATCTCTTTGATGTAGATTATATTTTTTATTCTACCAGTATATACTAGCCAGGATTTTGATATGGCTTTGTATTTGTATATTTAAATACAAGGCCTTCAGCGTTATTGTAAGAGATTTTCCAGTTTTCTCTTATAATGTTTTCTTTTTAAAAAAAGTAGCCAGTCCAGTCTCTGAAACTATTCCCTGGCTATTGAACTTTCATCAATTTTTAATGTGTTCCTGTTAAATGATAGTAGTATTTTGTCATTTCTGCATATTCTTCACACGTGTGTTATTACGTATAGTTTATGGTCAGTTGCATCTTTTCTCTCACAAAATTTTAACCCCATCACCATGCATTTATAGTACAGCTCTGACATATACTGTATCTTAAAAGTTAACCAGTTTTCTCTTGTCTTAAGAGCTTTACTGGGTTTGTTCAGGTAACTATATTTCAAACGGTCTTTGGGATTTTCTGATGCCTTGTCAAGAATTCAACAAGAGTTCTCAGGTTGTCTGTACTTTCTTTTAGGATTTTGGAGATCTCTCAAGTTGCATTGAGTTTTCTAATATTCCTGAATTATATTCCTTGGTAGGAGTAAAAGTCAATGCTTTATATCTGGCAATATTTTAAAAAAATTCTCCTTTGATGCTTCAAGTGTTGTTACGAGTTCCATTGGTAGTCCCTTTATAAGGCTAATGGTCATATGCTATTTTTTTCCCATGAGCTATCATATGCTGTCTCTTTCTTTATCCGTAAGAGTGGTTCTATCACAGCATTTAATTTTAAAGGCTACAGTTAGACCTCTTGCTAACTCCTACTTTTGTCTGTGATGGCTATGTTTCACACTACCTTGAGTATAATGTAGTGATGTGCTAAAATAACTATCATTTTGGTGGTCCTTTCATACCACTTTTGTTTAGTGAGGCAACAATGATGTGGATGATGGAAAAAAACATTTTCCAACTCACTAAACACAGTTTCAAACTGTCAGTTCCATTTTTTACAACATTTAATTACATTAAGCTTCCTTTTGTTAGGTGTGTCACCTATTCCCTTCTACCTGGGGTGGAATATAGTTCATTTGTAATTAGTCTCAGATTTTTAGCACAGAGTTGCATGTGTGTTGGTCTTTATTTAATGGCTTATAGCAGTTCCTATTTTCTTTGAGTTTTGGCAAAAACATATTTTGACAGGTCTTGGAAGCGCCTTGATAGCCTTGAGCCTAATTGTCATTTTCCTGCCTGGGAAAGAAGTAGAAGAGAGAACTTTTTATGGAGCTTGTGTTTTCTAGGCCCTGTGCTAGTTGCAGGATGCTATTGAAGCAGAAATTCACCCTTATTTTGCAGATAAGGAAATGAAAGTTATCATTAAACACCTTGCTCAAGTGGTGGAACTGAGCTTTGAATATAGACTCTATTCTTATTTTGCAGATGAAGAAATGAAACTTATCGTTAAGCAACTTGCTCAAGTGGTGGAACTGAGCTTTGAATATAGACTATTGTTCCATAATTTCAATTCAGCATTGTACTAGGCTGTCTCCATGTGTTTTTCAAGGCCCTGCTCAAGTGTTACCTCTCTGGTAACCTAATTTGATATATACTAATCTTTTTCTTTCCTGAACTTTGTGTTTATGGCTGTAGTCTCATCCCTTAATACTTGATGTCTTATTCTAATTCATGGTTATTTCACTTGTCAGATCAGAAACCATAACCTCTTGTTCTCCCATTGAGGTATTACTGTACTAAACTAGGATTATTCTTGATGCATAGTCATTGGCTTCTATTTCATATATTGCTTATTTGTATTCCATTCATTTTGAGCACTGATCATTTTAGTCATGGTTCTTATTGCTTGTTTCTTCTTTGTTCTACCTTTTTTGTTTGTTATATCCATTTTGTTTCAGATATACACTTACATTTCTTCTTGCTGGCATCTTGAGGATATTGGCTTGATGAAAGGAGGGTGGGATGATGCAAAGCACATGGTATTTGAATTCCAAAGACCTTGATCTGAGTATTAGCAAGTCACTTATTCTCTGAGCCTCAGTTTTCCTACTTTGAAATGAGGTAATGCCCAGAAGTACTTTGAAAACTTGAAAGCCCAGTATAGACTTCCTTTCTTTTGTAGTTGTGCTGTTTCTGTCCATATTCGTAGATTTCTTAAAACTGGGGGATGGTATTGGATGTAAATACAGATACACTTTAAGATGTATTTAAAAGCATGTGATAGTTCATTTCATGTCATCAGATGATCTTCCCCTTTTTTTTTTTTTTTTAAGGCTGAGCCATTTAGCTATACTGTAAGCCCAATAATGGACTAAGTAATTGAAAGACATATTTAAAAATAGTCTGTTTTCTCAAGTACAAGCTAAGAAATGCTCATAATAAACAGTAAAAAAAAGGGAATGTAGAATGAAGAGCTAGGATGTGTAGGTATGTGTATACAATTTTTAATGGATGGTAGTTTGTCATTTTGTGTCTGTGTTGGAAAGGATAATCTTTTCATTTGTCACACATCTTTTTCAATACCTGCTATGTGCAGGCAGGCACTGAGCAAGGTCTGGGGATACTGGGAGTTAATATGAGTTAGTATATTCTCTTATGAAGAGAGAGAAATACCAATACGACGTAATTGTCTTGTTTAGAGAAATGGCTGTGATTAGATTGGGACAAAAGAGAAGGCCATCTAGAGGGGTCAAGGAAGCTTTTCTTCCTTACCAGATACTTGAGCTGAGATTTGGAGCATGATTAGAGAAGAGTTCGTTGGACTAGTGGAGAAAGAGGAGCCAGGCATTCAGGTGAAGGAATCAGTGTGTGTAAAGGTGAGGGGAACGTTGTGTTTCTGATTTCAGAATTGTGAGGAACAGCCTTTATGGGAACTGAATTGGAGGAGATTGAGCTGAGGACAAAGGATAAATTACCCATGAAAAGGTATTGGTTCTTACCTATTCAAAGCGTACTAAGTTTGTATAAGGTTGTAGAGGTAGTCTGTCTAGGGATTGGTTTGTACCATAGTCCACTAATGGTACCATAGTCCACTAATGGTACCATAGTCCACTGTTGGACATCTGGAGCAATTCTTTCTCTTCCCTGAACTGAGCCAAAGGAGGGCTGTCAGTTGGTTCACCTCTAGCCCCAGGAACAGCTCAGGCAATGAAAAAGAACTGAGGCACTGGTAAAGAACAACTTTGAAGATGAACAGGATGATGTCACTGAAGTGGAATGTGACATCCCATTGTGGATATATAGTTCCATACTTTGAGACCAGCACTGGCAGTGTCCTCAGTATAGCTAAGTATCTAGATGTGCCTGATTTCCCTGTGTATTGGCTTAAAGATAATTTGAGGGTGCACATGGGAGAAATGAAGTTATTTCTAAAAATGTTGCTTCGTTGGAGTTTGGAGTTGTATTGAAGAAGGACCTGTGAACCTTGTGCCAGTGATAGCTCCAGCAGTACCCAAAACACTTCTCAACTTTCTGTTTGTTTTTTCTCTGGTTTGAGTTTCTTCCCTTGCTGTTGCCTCTTTTGCCTTTTCTCTCTCCATAATTCATCCTTTTTCTTTCTGTGCCACAGGTAGAGCACTGGCACTCAGGGTTAAAAAGTTGTAACTCCCCTTTGCTTTGTCGTAACTTCAAATTCAGAGATACTTAAAAATTCTCTTAGGTTGCATAATAATCATTATTATTTTTGGTCCTGTACTGAAGCAGAATCAAAGTTGTTCTTAGGAGGGGATTTTTATAAATATGGATATTGTCAATTTTCCCGAGGACAATACAGGAAGACTCTTATTTAATAGGTTTGGTGGTACTAGCCTTCTTAACTGAGTAAAGTACTTTACAGAATGGCGTATATCTGTATGTATGTTTTTAAGTTTGTTCAGATAAAGCAGATGTTTTGTGTACTTTGTATTTGTAAACAATAACTAGTTGGGGGTGGGAAGGAGATTGCTTTGTACAAAAGGGTTGTTTCCTGGTTCCAAAGCTTTGCTGCTGGAGATGGTAAATAAATATTGTACTGCTTTGCTGTGTTTATCTCTTCTGCTCCATCTGTATTTGAATATAAAATTCTTGAGAAAAATTGTTCCTTTTCAAAATGTTATTTGGGGTGTGATTTGAGTTATAAGCTGGGCAGAGGGACATCTGGCAAACAGAGCTCCTGGGAGTGCAAACTTCAGACCAAACTGTGGACCAAAGCTTTCGGAAAGGCAGTAATAAGCAGGCTTTGAAATTTGAGTTTGTGAAGTAGTGCAATTGTTTCAGAATTTTTTTTTTTAAGATCTTTTATTTTTTCCTTTTCCTCCCCAAAGCGCCCCCCGTACATAGTTGTATATTCTTCGTTGTGGGTTCTTCTAGTTGTGGTATGTGGGACACTGCCTCAGCGTGGTTTGATGAGCAGTGCCATGTCCGCACCCACGATTCGAACCAACAAAACGCTGGGCCGCCTGCAGCGGAGTGCTCAAACTTAACCACTCGGCCACGGGGCCAGCCCCTGTTTCAGGATTTTTAAGTGCACTGGTCAGATGGATAATATGATGATTCGCAAAAGTAATTCATTCCACTCTTGCAATTTGTTGCTCCTTTGAGCTTTCTTTGGACTTGGGATCACTTTTGTTTTTAGTGCTGTTGAGTTGATTCTGACTCCCAGTACAGCAGAGTGGAACCCTGCCTGGTCTTTTTGCACCATCCTCCACCTTCCAGTGCTGTATCCGACAATGCTCCCCTGCTGTTCATAGGGTTTTCATGGCCAGATTTTTCAGAAGTCGGTCAAGTCTGTCAGCTCTGCTGAAACCTGTCCACCATGGGGGACCCTGCTGGTATTTGAAATACCTGTGGCAGAGCTTTTCAGCATCACAGCAACACGCAGATGCCACAGTATGACAACTGACAGGTGGTGTGGTTCACTGACTGGGAAACGAGCCTGGGCTATGGTGGTGAGAGTGCTGGATCTTAACCACCAGGTGTGGTGATGCCTTACCTAGGGGATGAAGATGATGGAGGGAAAAGTCATCCTCCAATTGGTGCCCCTCTGCCTAATCAGTGCCAACTGACATTCAGGAAGATAGAACAACAATAAAGAAACCTCTGCCTTGACTTGTTCTATCTGTATCCCCTCTCCCTATTCTTCACCCTCCCACCTCCTACAAATTTTCTTTCCTTACTACTGGCTTTTTTAGTAGTCAAAACTGCATTTGTTGAGTGAGATAGATTAAGTTCACATACTCTGCTTCTGCAGCCGGGTTTGTTGGTTTGGATCTGGGCACAAACCTATACACTGCCCCTCAAGCCATGCTGAGGTGGTGTTGCACATACAAAATAGAGGAAGACTGGCACGGATTTTAGCTCAGGGCCAATCTTCCTTACGAAAATAAAAGTTAAATACAATTTACTTGTAGATTATGTTCCCTCTAGATACAAAATTTCCATCTATGTGAAGGATAGATGTTAAACTTTTATTTTTATAAGGCATAAATTAGTGATTTAAACCAAATTCATTACATTCCCAAAAGATTGAGCTTGTCAATACTTTTTGTTTTTATACAGTCTTGTTCATTAATAGTTGAAATTTCATTAACAATTTAATTGCATATACTGATTGTAAAAATATTAGGAAATAGAGATAAGGAAAAACTCCAGACAGAACTATTGTTAACATTTTAATTTATAGCCTTCTAGGTTTTACTCATTAAAAAGCAGGATCATTTTCACTTAAAAACAAATATAAGTGATAGGGAAAAAAGACATTGAAATATATACAGATTACAGCTTCATTGATTACTGGGATTTTATGCCATGTTGTCATTAGTTTGCCTATTTAATGATTTTGTGTGCTTTATTTTACAGTTCACATCAGCAGTATTAGAAATTTTAATAGTTTCCAGGAAAGCTTTGTTAGCTCATTTAACTTGATTAGTAAATGAAAGTATTAATTTGGTGAAAGTTTTGTCTAAACAGTGGAATTCTCATTGGATGTGACTTCTCATCACAATTGTGAGTTCATTATAAGCACTGATTTCAAGTTCAGCTGAACTTATTTCAAGTTTGAAGTGGGTATTGGTCTGTAGCAAAAAGAGAAAAGTCAAGACGGTGCAGCTAGTTTTTTGAACAAGGCTAAATTTGTTCAATATGAGCCTGCTAAGGGAAACTTAAAAGTGTTAACTTGAGATTGGGTCTTACTCTTCCTTTTTTTTTTTTCCCCTTGTTTTTAAAGATTGGCACCTGCGCTAACATCTATTGCCAATCTTGGGGGGTTTGTTTGTTTTTTGAGGAAGATTAGCCCTGAGCTAACATCTGCCACCAATCCTCCTCTTTTTGCTGAGGAAGCCTGGCCCTGAGCTAATATCCCTGCCCATCTTCCTCTACTTTATATGTGGGACGCCTACCACAGCATGGCGTGCCAAGCAGTGCCATGTCCCACCCAAGATCCGAACCGGTGAACCCTGGGCCGCCAAAGCAGAACGTGCGAACTTCACCGCTGTGCCAGCGGGTTGGCCCATATTGCCAATTTTGTTTTTGTTTTTATTTTTTTGTTCTTCTCCTGAAAGCCCCCTGGTACATAGTTGTATATTCTAGTTGTGAGTGCCTCTGGTTGTGCTATATGGGATGCCACCTCAACATGACCTGATTGAGCCGTGCCACGTCCGCATCCAGGATCCAAACCTGGGAAACCTTGGGCCACTGAAGCAGAGCGCAAGAACTCAACCGCTCGGCCATGGGGCTAGCCCCAAGATTGTGTCTTACTCTTAAGAAATGATAGTGACTGTTGATATTAGTTCCTTTTTTAAAATGCCCTTACTTGATAAAATAAGAGAATCCTATGTCAGATTTTCCTTTTATTTTTTCTTTTTCAGTTACATTCACCCACTGAATCTCACTATTCCAGATTAGATGTAAGAAATCCGCCTTCGTTTCCTGCCCAAGTTGTACCTTATTTCTAGACTTGAAATTTTTGCTGTAATTCTACCACACTTCATAAAAGATAAACATTGTCTTCTAGAAAAAAGAATTCTTTTTGCTTCCTTTCACCTGTACATGCTTAACTTTCATGGCTGTGTGCATTCAGATTTAACCAGTATGCTTAATCTAACTGCCATTTCTAGGACACAACCCAAATTTGCTTTGTATATGTTTTATGTCATTTTAAATAAAAATGTAAAGACTGTAGTTGAGAATATAAGAATTTCTTAGTGTTTAGGGGTGAGAACAGACAGGATTGCAGAGAGAGGCTTTGTTAGCCTGGCTCCTGAGATTTTGGAACAGCTTTTCTTCCTCTACCCAGTGTGACCCTCATTTTGTAACCGTCCAACTCCTGATCACCCATGGGTTTTTTGTGTGGGACTATGTCATTGTAACTATACGCCTGGTTCCCATTAAAAAAACCCCATCATTTTAGTTAAAAAAAAATTCATAGTGACTGAACCAGAACCTGCCTTTGAACCTTTTCTGGCATTACAACCTTCTCCTTAATTCTGTTAAGACCCCACACAACTTCCCCAATGGGAGGGGAGTGGATATAGAAGTAAAATTGATGGAGAGAGTGATCTGAAATATAGGCAAATAGAGACCCTCTCTTTCGCAGTATATTTCTTAAAGAGTTTCTTATGCTTCTCCCAAAAAGTGAGTGGATAGTGTTTTCTTGCTGATCATTTGCTATCATTGTGGACTCTAATATTACTCTTTAATAGTATCTAATGTAGAAGTTAGTCCAGGGTGACCACAGCAAGTGCTTCAAGAAGGATGACTCTGAAGATCCTATAGCTGCTAACATTCTAAATGAGACTTAAAGCCCATTCTTCTTCTTTTTTTTTTTTTGGAGGAAGATTAGCCCTGAGCTAACATCTGCTGCCAATCCTCCTCGTTTTGCTGGGGAAGACTGGCCCTGAACTAACATCTGTGCCCACCTTCCTCCACTTTCTATGTGGGACGCCTACTACAGCATGGCGTGCCAAGTGGCGCCATGTCCATACCCGGGATCCGAACAGGCAAACCCCAGGCCGCCGAGAAGTGGAACGTGCAAACTTAATCGCTGCGCCACCGGGCCGGCCCCAGGCCCTTTTAAGGCGAACAGAATGCTCTGGAAGATTTCAAAATGCTTGCTTTTCCTCTGCCACTGCTGGAAGCATGAGGGGATTTTTGTCCAGTCTTCACTGTGAGAAACTGGTAGAAGTCCTGGAGGTAAACTCACAGAAGTGTGAGGACCCCATGACTGGGTCCCCTGGAGTTCTTAATTCTGACTTGTCCGCACTGAGCTTCCAGCTGTTCGTCATTTAGAGTTCAGATTTTCCTACCCAGTGCTGACTCCTGTTGAGGTTTCTACTCATGGGTTTCTGCTCCACTAAGTTGTAATTCTCTCTATCTGCCCCTGTGTCTCTCTCATTTTGGGGGCAGTGATGTGCACTATGACCTCACTTCTCTGGTGAATCTAAGAAGAGTTGTTGACTTCAGTTTGTTCAGCTTTCTTTTTTTCTTTTTTACAGCTCCATGAATTTTTTTTATTGAGTTCATAATACTTTACATCATTGGGATGTTTCACTCGTACATTATTTGTTGTCTGTCACCACATAAGTGCTCCCCTTCACCCCCTGTGCCCAGCCCCCACCCCCCTTCCCCTGGTAACCACTGAACAACAGTGTTCTTAGTCCATGTGTTTATTCATATTCCACATGAGTGAAATCATATGGTGTTTGTCTTTCTCTGTCTGGCTTATTTTGCTAAGCATAATACCCTCTAGGTCCATCCACATTGTTACAAATGGGATGATTTTGTCTCTTTTTCTGGCTGAGTAGTATTCCACTGTATATGTATGCCACATCTTCTTTATCCAATCATCGGTCAGTGGGCACTTGGAATGTTTCCATGTCTTGGCTATTGTGAATAGTGCTGCAACGAACATAGGGGTACATATGTTACTTTGGATTGTTGATTTCAAGTTGTTTGGGTAGATACCCAGTAGTGGGATACCTGGGTCATACAGTATTTCCATTTTTACTTTTTTGAGGAGTCTCCATGGTGTTTTCTAAAGTGGCTGCATCAGTTTGCATACCCACCAGCAGTGTGTGAGGGTTCCCTTCTCTCCACACCCT